TTCGTTGTCAACCCTCTCCCCAAGTAGTGGGACTTCCATTCATATTAGTACCAGAAAAAATGGAAGATCAGGTAAATCATTTGCAGTTCTACATGTGTGCTTCTCCATTCAGAACTAAATGTCATTTCAAAACTGACTATATCATTTAAGCAGTAAATGATCTGATCTCTATATAACAATTAAACTGGTCAAAACTTACCCACATCGGAGGTTTACACTAAACCAATGGATGCATGACATGTGTTTGAGCATACACAATTATCGCGTAACCATGGCTAATTGATGTACATTTTCATTTCATTAAATCACTTAAACTTAATCTAGTCTCTTTTCTACAATATTATCTAGTTGCTCCTGGCCGTCCTCTGCTGTATTTTGGAGGATTCGTCTTAGCAACATCAACTGTTATCATCCAGCCATTGATAATCTGTGTACATAAAATCAACAAACTTATCATTTCTGTTACCACAAATGATTTTGTGGAAGTAAATAAGCACATTGTTCCAAAATTACCTTGCCATTCATCTCTTTGAGAGCAGCACTTGCTGCCTCGAGTGTTGTGTACTCGATAAATGCATAACCTTTAGACCTCTTAGAAATTTTGTCCATGATGATTTTAACTGTTAGGATAAAGAGAGATTTATGAGCAAATTTTTTTCTTACAACTATATTATGAAGCAGAACAATCTTCAGATAACAATTATAACACCTTCAACAAGTTCACCATAGCCTTCAAATGCTGCACGTAGCGTTTTCTCAGACGTATAGAATGACAAACCTGTCCAGAAAAAGTGCATTGCAAATAGTTAGGTTATGGAAAAAACCAACTCTGAAGCAATGTAATATCTAGAGCTAAATGGAAAAGGAGTAATCACGATCAAACTACCAAAAGAAAATAGAATGGACTAGAAATCGGAGCTCTAAATGATTCATTTTGGACTCAAAAGAAAGGACTTTGCGGTTCTTATAGATCTAATCATTGAAATTCCATCCAATAAAATGGTATTATTATGTAAGAAATAAGTAACACTTTTGGAGGTGGATTTAGACTTGCAACTTACCAGTTACAAAAAGCTTCTTGGTTCTAACATCTGTTTCCTCATTTGATGCTGTAGATTCCTGGGAATCTTCACTAAGCTTTAAATTCCCACCTGAGATAAACCATGATTATTCAAACTTCCCAAAATGGAGATATTGCATGTAATTAGTTACTTACCAAAAAATTTAGGACAGAACAGCAGAAGATACTACTATTTCTTTTGTTTTCTTTCTGAGAGAAAAGATAACACCAAAGTCCTTTTCCATTTGTTTGTCTTACTTACCTTTTTAGTTCGTTTCAAAGAGAATGTCTCTTTTCCTTTTTGCCAACTCATTTATTCTAACTTTCCACATGGAATGTTTAAGATCACAAGATTAAAGGTCATTTAAGTACATTCTACTATCTTTAGTTTAAAACCACAAAATTCAAAAGTTTTATTTACTTTCTTCAACTCCTTGCCGAGTCAAAATCAAACAAACAAATTGAAACAGAGGGATTACTCTTTGTTTCAAATTGCTTATTACAGTTACAAATAGCCATAGAAATTACTCTCTTCACTGATAGAAAGATAGATTTATTTGATACATAAATATACATATAGAGGTATTTTTAACACAAGCCCAAGTAGAGCTTCCCAATGGAAAAATCATCGATAAGAAACTTATTTTTTTTTTGATGACAAGGGAAACCCACAGCCGCTACCCTTTGGGTGCGCACAGGGTAAATCCCCCGCTCCTATGCAATAGCTCGCAAGCCACATAGGAGACATCGATAAGAAACTTATACAAAACAGAACTTTTAATACCTCGTTTTACCAATTGATATTCAAGAGCAGAAACCTCACTCGAAAGAGCACGCACATGAAAATTTGAAAGAAAAAAAATCTTTTAAGTTGAACTAATCCTGATATACTATATCTTTTTTTGTTCAAATGACTTCCTGATATAGTACATTACTATGTCAAAATAGAGAAAGTCAATAATTTGATGTCATTTCACATATATGGCTTTCATTTTGATATTATTCTTTTCTAGTCGACCGAATCCTTAACATCAGAGATGTAGCAATCAACAGGTTAAAGTCGGATGTGATCTCAAACCTCCATAATCTTTATCGTCAGAGTCAAAATTTTCATCTGGCTGAACAGATAGAACACCAGGCACTCCTGCGATAGTACATCAAAACATTTACTGGTACTGCAAAAAGTTGACTGATTACATATTACAGGTAAGAAGATTACTAGTATGAAATGATATTCTCACCAGCTAATTCTTGAACACACACCTCATCTAATTCGCAACAAAATCCATAATTGGATTGCCAGGACACATGATATAAGCACATCTGTGCATCCTTCTCACTATCAAGAAACCAATCATTCCTTTAGCAACCTGTAAATGATGACAAGGAAATAGCAATATATCGACACTCGGAAACAAATACTTACTTCCCAAGAACTTTGGTTAGAACTTGAACGTAATAGTCAACCACTGGGCCTTTTCTTATGACTCCAACAGATGGCCTGGCCATACGAACAAGCCAGTGTTTAGAAGTCCCAGCAGGAAATAATGAAGAGCCTTCCGTGTATGAAGTTGATGGGGAACTTAGCTGACCATTTGTGTAGCTATAGTCTTTCACCATCGACTCAAAATCAGGGTCAGGTATAACTGATAGTACCCTAGGCATACCTAGTATCCAAAAATGTACAAAAATGGAGAAGGAAAAGCTTCAGGCAAAATCCAAAGCATATATTAGTATTTTACAATTAGTATGCACTGTGCCTAAATTAAGGGGCACCAACAATGCCTTCAATCTTGACTGATATATAGAGGAGGTCATGCCAGAAAGCAGACAGAATTTACCGGCAATCTCATCAGCTACCGCATCATCAATGTCGCAACAGAACCCATATGGGGGATTGCAAGAGGCATTATATATACACATTTGAGCATCCTCCTCACTGTTTCATGAAGAACAGATAGTTGATAAAAATCAGCACCAACTCACAGTGAAACATGACAGACGGTAAAGCCTATGCTCTTCTGAAGTTAATTCTATATGATGAAATATCACAATTATACTCGAGAAACACTACAGGAGAGACAAGGATGAGAAGAATTATTATACACAGCTTGAATCCAGAATTAAATGCATAATCATATGCTGGTGGGACTCAGAATCAACTTTAGTTGAGTTGGCAATTCAGCTTTAAAAGAAGAAAGTCGGCAAGCATGGAAGACATTCAGAAATAAAATGAAGACAGTTAATCAAAAAGAAGACATATTCAACAAGAGCTTTGATGGTTTAAGGGAGACTTACCAACGTGAAAGGTAAGTTCTATAGAGCAATTATAAGACCAACAATGTTATATGTGAGTGAATGTTGGGCTACTAAAATCCTACACATCCACAAGATGAGTGTCACAAAGATGTGATTGATAAGATGGATGTGCGGTAATACAAGATTAGAATAAGATCTCTCTAGGCGATATAAATAATCTGGCCAAGCTTCCAAAATCTGCTTATTATGAAAAGTGCTTTTTGTCGGAAGTACTTTTGAAGTGTAGCAGTTTGTGTGTGTTTGGCCAATCAATTTGAAAAGCACTTTTGCCAATATTTTGAAGTAATTTGTGCTCGGCCAAGGTTTCAAAAGTGCTTCGAGGAAAAAACTGTTCTTTTAGCTTCTACAAAACAACTTCTGTTATTATTCTAGAACACATGTTTTCCCTGAAAGCTTAGTCAAATGCCTCAATTTTCTAAAATAAGCACTTAAGGCTTCCTAAAAGTTTGGTCAAACACATTTAAGTTTGGAACATGTTTTAGTTATGTTAGTATGTTTAGTTTAGGTCTTATACTTTCAAAGAGACTATAGACTATTGTCATGCCACATTATATACCGGTAGATAATATATAGAACCTATAGTACTTTTTTGCTTCTATTTATTTTTGTGTGATACAGTGTGGAAATTGAGGCGTCGTTGTTGTTGTTGGTTGGAATGATTAAGAGGCCAAAC